GGGTCGGCAGGGAGACCGCGGAGAGCCGCCCCCGCCGCTCGGGCAGGAGGGGGCAGCGCCCAGCAGTTCCCGCTCATGTTTCCAGCCAGGCCGGCGTGTCCAGCAGGCGCTGCCGGGCCCTACACAGACTCTCACGGGGCCACGGCCAGGGCCAGGGCCAGCCCCCGCTGCGGGCTCTGCGATAGGAGTGGGACGGGGGCCAAGGCACTGCACACGCGGTAGTCAGGACAGCGAAATGGAAAGGGAAGCGCACAGGGGCAGTGGGACGCTAGGGACAGTGTTCCTGGGCACCCTTCCAGGTACAGCACATGCCAGAGCGGGATGTCCTGTTATTCCAGTTCCAGCATTAATCACAGCTGAAACTGCAGCAGCGATGCACAGGGAACCAGGCCTGAGTGCTCCGCGAGGTGTTTCATTCACACCAGGAGAGCAGCAGAGAGCAGAGATGTAGGTTAAGCCTCCCTGGCAGCTGCAAAAGCTTGTGAAGACAGCAGTTTTCCCCTAGGAGTACCAAACACATGGAAGCTTTGAATCTCGTAAAACATCCCCCCAGCACTTCTTGCACTTGCTCAGTCAGGCACTGATCTCCAGTGAGGATAATTACATTCTTTGCATCTGCTGCTGAAACTTCAGATAGTGTTATACCTTCTCCTGCAACATCATGTCTGAGGTGGAAGGCTATAGCAGACAGCAGTGGTTACAGAGCTACTGACAGCCCAACGCACCTGGTGCTTCATCCTGACCTTTCCCTGGAGGCTTAGCACAAAGAGTAAAAATAAGCATGACAGCACACAAGACCTCCTATTAGCAAGTTTCTTTTCCCTGCACACAGTCACAGAGGAGGAAGAGATCTAAGGGGACACAGAAATTACTTATTTTAACCAATTAACAGAATTATGCCTGTTGTTTCTTATTCCCACAGGCTGGTGCTACTTACGTTATATTGCCAGCTGCCATACAGCTAATTTGGTAGCAGTATTTGAGAAGAGCTAACCAGACCTGAACAGCCTCACTTTGTCTTGGTATAAGCAAATATTCTTCTAGAGTTTTCTCCAAATTTCCTGCAATCACTGGGCACCCAGCTGCACAGGGCACCTTTCACTGCGGAAGGCCTGTTATAAGCACACGAGCATGTAACTAAGGAGACCAGAAGTGCTTGTAGACAGATGTAGAGAGACAACGCTACATTATGCCCAGCACCGATACCCTCCCTCTTCCCACACACTACTCCACAGCTTTAACTACCACATCCACTCAGATTACAAAGGCAGCAAATCTTTTATTTTCTGACACTTTAAAATTCTCACTTGAAATACCCCCAAAACATAGAAGTTTTTAAAAAGTTTAAGAGTTGCAAATGTGAGTTCCTGACAAACAGAAGAGGGCAAGTGACAAGCAAGATGATGTTCAAATCCCCAGGCAGAAAATACTCTTCCCACCTTCCTTTGGCCTCTAACCTTTAATTCCTTGTAATAGCCAAGGTCTCCTGGGCCCCTCAGCACTGCAGCCTAGAATCCAAGCACCAGAGATTGTGCAAGCCAGAGGGGAAGTCCTGAAAAATGCTCATTGGAACAAGTTGCAGCTCATGTATATGGGGGTGGCTCAGCAAGTCCCATCCAACCCTCAATTAGGTGACACTGCTCTGCACACAAATGTAGCTTTCTGTAACAGGGCTCTTCTCATTGTCGCCCTTCAGGGAGAGAATGGAAACGTGGAAATCAGGCCCTGAATAACCTCTCTCTGTGGCTGGCAGTTTCATGAGACAGGTGAGCAGTTCTCACAGCCCACTACCCTGTTTCCCAAACATGCACTACCACCGTTCAATTCATACTGGCTGCGAGCTCAGCAGACTGCTCCACAAACTAAGATTAAATTAACCCATCTAACAGGGAAAAAAAAGTAGTTGGGGGAACCATTTTCTACCAGACATGAGTTGCACCAGAAATAAGGAGGCAGTGACATAACTGGAGGGAAAGCAAGCCTTCCCCTCAGCAGCAGTAAGGCAGTGTATTATCTCAGTTGCTCATGAAATCTCAGTTTAGACTGCAAGTTATGAACTCGTTTGAGGCTCCCCATACCGAACACGTGCTTGTAGCTAACACTTCAAACCTTACAGCATCAGGCTTTATTTGCCTTAGGGCTATGGGGAAAATGGCATTTTACTTGAGAGGGATTTAACAGATGGAGAACAGCTCAAAGAGCAAGTGATCCAAACCAGAAAAGAAATTTAAGGCATTAATGATACATTCACGTTGACTCCTAACAAGCTGCACAGCACATTGCTGGGAGTAAGCATAAGCTGACATGTTTTATGTTCAGAGAGAACAAGGAGTAACGCGACGCTGCAGTCAGAGCCTCTGAAACAAACACTCAGCAAAAAGCAGAGATGGGTAGAAAAGTGGGCTTTATCTCCTCTGCCTCCTTACCCAATACCCACTGAGCCAAACCACAACCTCCATGCATCCGAGTTTCTGCACATCTCCACTCCCCAGCTACATTCCCAAAGTGTTATCAAGAGTGCCACAGCAGTACTATAGACCTTGGTCTTTCTGACAACAGCCTCCAACTTGCAACTGCGAACAACTACACTAAGGTGTGTTTAGATTCTGCTTCTCTAAGTACTCTAGCTAGTGGCCTCAACAGGAGTGGAAGGAAAAGGAAGGTAGGAATTTATTGCAAGGTGAAACCATAAAAGAAAACAGGAAAGAAGAACCCTGTCACACTGCAACTGTGAACTTGAAATGTCAGATGGGGTTGGAGATTACAGCCAGAGGGTTCAAATCAGTTGTTGCTCTTACAGTAACTAGCCAAAGGCAAGTCACAATACTTGCCATTTCACAGGTATCTGAGCTAAACTGGCTGAAAAAAGAAGTGGGGGGTTAAGATACAGGAGAATGATTTCTTTTTCTTCTACTAGATGGGCAGGAAACTGAAATGAAAAACCACTGCCAGCCTTTTAAAATAAGACTGTAGAAAATTTAAGTCTTGGAGGTCACCCTAGTGGTGCCAGTAACACCAGCTCAAGGACGGTTCCAAATTAGGGGCCTAAACTCGAATTAGAAGTGAAAGGGGGAAACATCCAACCATTCTCCCACACTCCCACGCTGGAGCTGCCTGTCCAACAATGGGCTAGGGGAGGTAGCATTCCAGGCAGGCTTGACATCCATGAAGTCCACATGCCCATCCAAGCCATTCTGGTGAGCAGATGGTTTATGAATTCCAAAGGAAACATTCTCAGTCACTTTCAAACTTGACGGAATTGACTTGGGTTGATATAGTGCCCCCACGGTAGCTGCCTCGTTTTTTCTTTGTCTTCTCATGGCGGAAAGACTTGCCTTTAGTGAATTTCAGGATATTGTTAGCCTTCTCACCCCAGTCACCAGCTGCTCCTTTCTGTGAGGGATGAAGAGGAAAAAGCAATTCAGGTCAGCAGCCAAAAGAGTAAAGGCAACGCTTTGCACTTCATCCTACCCAGCAAATACCAGTACTTTAACACTGGAGCTGATACGCTCTCTGATGGACCTCCTGCCAGTGCTCACACATTTCCTAACAGCACCTCCTGGTGGAAAAAATTCCCACCTAAAAGACTGCCCACAAGCACACCAAGGCTGCTTTGACCACTCCAGGCACCACCTAGCCCTACCTTTGCTTCAAATGAGTTATCAGCAACACGGGCATCGACCTCAATTTCTTCTTCCCTTACACGACGGAACGGAGAGGCTGGCTGTTACAGAGACAGAAAACAAGATACAGTAAGTGCACACAGGCGTGTGACACTCCTTTAGTGACAACCTTCTTCCTTCCTTGCCCTGCAAATAGGAGCCCTGTTCACATCACCTCAATCTTAAAGTGTTTCTCAGATTCTTAGTTCTCTTCTTCAGATCAAGCAGCTCAGGGATGCTCCTGTGCAAGCGTGCCCAATCAACCTTTGCCAGGATAATATTATGCACATATGTGCACTCCCTAGGGTTCTCCATGTAAGGTTCAAGTGCTTGAAGAACAAGCAAAAATACAAATAATCCTGTGGGCCTAACCTCCCCCAAAAGAACCCAAAACAAGGCTACTTGTTCAGGAGGCAGAGATGCCTCTCCCACCAGTCGCTGCAGTCCACCGTCACTCACCTGCTTCACCTTAGGAACTGTGTGTGGTGTTTTGGCTTTGATCTTTGCCTTTTTACTATGTGGTGTCTCCGGCTCCTGAACATCTTCCCTCTTCTGTTTCTTCCTGATCGTGCCTGTTAGATGTACAGCAGTAAAACTTCAAAGGGAGTAACTGCATTGTGGGAAAGGTAATGGCATCTCTCCCCCAAAATGCAAACCCAGTGTTGACACAGATGTGAGAATCAGCCCCTGCATTACCTCACCCAGAAAACAGACACTTAACAGCAATTCTGGGTCAGCAAGGATTTTGCCACCCTATCCTAATTGATAAAGATAATTTTGTGGCAGAGGGTAGAGAGGTAGTGCATTTGACAAGGTTCTGTTCATTAAAATTCACGAGTTCTTGGAGTCACACAGTATGCACTTGCACACATCACTAGTGCATTCAAAGTTCTTTTCCTCCTGGAGGGATAAAGATTGATACTGTGCATGGGGCATCATCTATGGTGTCCCACTCAGAGACAAGGTCCTCTGGCAGTCGGCCTTGCTGTCACTAACGATCTTGTGCAGGCACGGATGTAAACAACTGCACAGAAATGTACTTCATGTTACCACAGATCCCATTGCCAGCAATATGAAATAGACAAAAAAGATCACATCAAATTAAAAACTAGCCTTTCCCTCTCAGTACTGCACCAGATGGCATAATCTAACAGCACACAGAGACTAGACTGAATACTGTTTAGGAAAGGCTCTCATTCATGCTTAGCTCAGGAACATTGCCTGACAGGTAATACCTCCATTGACTTTTCCAGTCTCTTCTTCAGAGCTGCTTTCACTGCTGCTACTGCTGCCACCAGCTGGCTTAGACTTGAGGTTGTTTGCTGCTCGTGTGGATACTTGTGCTTTCTCTGTGGAGGCAGGGGTCTTAGAACCGTTCTGTGCCCCTTTTCCTGCCTTTTTGGGCTTCTGATCCTCTTCGCTAGAACTATCAGATGAGCTGCTACTACTACTAGGAGCAGCTGTCTTCTTCCCCACAGTTGCTTTTGCTGCCCCTGCAGATTTGGTGGCTGGTTTCACTGCTGGCTTCTTTTCTTCTTCACTGCTTGAGCTACCAGAGTCAGAAGTATCTGCTTTGGGAGCTGGGGTAGGTTTGGACACCGGCTTACCCACTTTGCCAACTAGTTTAGCTGGAGTGCTTTTCGTCTTCTCATCCTCAGAGGTGCTGGAGCTGCTATCTGAATCAGAGCTACTTTGTGCTTTCTTTGTGGCAGCTTGTGACTTCTTTGTGGCAGGGGCTGCTGCTTTAGTTGTGGGCTTCACAGGGGCCCTCTTATCAGAGCTATCAGAATCTAGAATGGAAAGGAAAAGAATAATCAAGGCCAAGCCCAATTCCTTCAACATCAAGCTAACACACAGATTCAGTGTTGATACACAGTGCACTTCATCAGCTGCTTGAAACAACACTGCAATGGGTTTTCCTGAACAACTGCACTCTCATATCCTGCCTAGGAACACAGAGGTCTGAGCAAGCACCACATGCAAACAGAAATTCTCCTTTTCTTCTACCCCAATACCTGAGCTGTCTGAGGAGGAACTTGAGTCCTTCTTTGCTTGTCCAGGCTTGACAGGTACTTTTGCTGGTTTGGAAGTATTCTTCATCACAGGTTGTTTAGCTTGGAGTTTACTCCCTACCTTCTTCTTGTCATCTTCGGAGCTAGAATCTAAACCAAAAAGAGGATGTTCTTTAACTTTGTAAGCTTCTGGTGAGAGTTACTTCAGTAATAATGTATATAACACATGGGGAAGTGAAAAGCACAACAGGTTGTGGCCCAAGGCTGAGCCACTAGCAATAAGCAGCATTTGATGAAGAACTGAATGGCCAGGGGACAGCATTCATCTTTCCACGTAACATCTTCAGTGGGAGGAAGTGGAAACAAGCAGTTTAAGTTCTTTACTAATGCATGCACAAGGAAGCAGATATTTGGAGAACAATGTAGAAGAGGTACAGACAAAGGACTGGAGAAAAAGTAAGTACCGGTATCAAAAAGAACAAACTCAGGGAGAACAAATATCAAGAAAAGAGGCTATGTGGTAAAGATCAGACAAGAAATTAGGAGACAAAACTGTCAAAGCAAGGAAAGTGAGGCAGCAACAGCACAGTATCTCATTTTAGCTTTTTTATTTCCTGTATCAGATGTGCTTAGCAGCAGTCTGAGGATGGACTGGAGACTCCTGTGTACAAACATGCCTTTGTATTGTGTGTCACAGCAATCTGGAATGCTAAGCCTGATCTATTCCAACATTGCTGAACACTTTAATAACAATAATTGAAAGCTTGTCTACTTGAGAGACCAGGCAACAAACCCAGAAAACACAGAACTCCTGCCACTTGAAGTATCACACAGTCTAGTGCTAGCTGTCTGCAGACAGACAGGCAGTTGCCACCCACAGTCCCTGCCGTGGCACCAGAGGTGTGGAGATACCCAACAAGAGCACTTTGAACTTGGAGGGGAAATGTAGCACATAAGGAGCTTACACGGGACACACAGCATCGCAAGCCTTACACCCGATCAACAGAAGACACAAAGCACACTGCCTCCATTTCTAGGGTCACGTTTGGAGAAGGCATCTTTTGAGTCTATTTTGAACTTGGTACGGCAACATTTTTTATTTTGGAAACTTCTCCCAAACACAATGGGATAACAGAACCTAAACATCTGAAGACACAGATCCTCAAAAAGTGTCACCATTAACCTTCCTGGAGAAACCTGATACACATGATGCCCCACCCTCTCCGTCCAGCAATATGCAGACCTTTCTGCACTTGCCAATGGTCTCACAGTCAGACTCCACCCTGCATAGCAAGCTGTTTTTTTCAGTTTCACATCTTGTTAGCTATGAAGACTGTGAAGCTTTTGAGCTCATAGGCTAAAGATCTTAGAAGATACACCACTACACAGCAACCTGACCAATAAACATTAACACACAAAAAAAAAAATCAAAACTTTATTTCTTGAATTACCTGAGTCACTGTCAGAACTGGATTCAGCCTTCTTGTTAGTTGCAGCTTTCTTCTGGGGGCCAGGGATTGTTTTAGCTACTACTACTTTGCCTGCAAAAGCAAGTTTAAAATTAACAGGCCACATCCACACCAAACCTTTGTCCCAAGATCCAAACTTTTCCAGATGTGAAAAAGCTCCCTTCTCACTGCACCAGCCATTCAGCCAGCACGTCGGAAGTCAAGCAAGGACCGGGCCAGCTGCAGTAATGGGCCTGGCTTACTCCCACTAAACTAGATCCTGATGATTTTCCAAACCAACACGTGCAAAGTAATCTGAACTGCACATAGTTTGGATCCACAGGTTGTACACAGTGTTGTTTGGGATTCCTTCAGATTACTCAGAAGCTTCCAGAGAAGCAAATGGCAACACCGACCAAAGTCGAATGGCTTTTTCATGGAAATCAAGACAGCCAAAACGTCGTCTGCACCATGGACTACTTCCTCTGCAGCGTCCTCCCCTCACAACATACCTGCTCCTCCCTTTGGGGGCACCTGCTCTGCCTCATCGCTACTGTCTGAAGAGTCACTGCTCTCAGCCTTTTTTGCAGGAGCTTTGGCAAGGCCCTTCTTTGTCTGTGTAGCTTGAGGAGGTGGTACAGCACTGTACTGACCTGTGAAGAGAGACACAGCATTCAGAAGCCTGCATAATGCAAGCAGCACACAAGATATTTTTTTGTCATTGGAATACAGCACTTCTGCTATTGGGTTCCATTTATTTCCCTTCTGTAGCTGCGATCAAAGATACTAGCTTATAATTTGAAAGGTTACACCTACCCCACTGCTACCTCCTGTTTCTACTGTGAGTTCAACTCTCCTCTGGGAGTTCAGCTGACCCAATCATGTCTGCAGAAGTTTTCTCTGCACTTAGAGAAGAATGGGAGCTTGTGTTGCCAAACTTTTTCAGAAAAAAAAAAAATCCAGAGATGTGGATTGTTTTCATTTACTGCCTTCTCAAATCGTCTAGTTAGAGAACAGACATCAGTTTCAATGCTTGATCCTCCACTCAGATCAGCTCTCTACTGGAATCCTAAAAGCACTATATGATATTGAATAGGGGCTCATTTACCCCATCAGCTGGATTGCAACTGAATGGCCCTGGATAGCTCACAGAAAAACCTAGAAGAGCTTCAATTGCTGCAGTTACAGAATAACCAAACAACTGGTAAATTACTTCCCAAATCCTGGCAGACAGGAAAACTGCAAGAATGTACTTAAAGGCTACCCGAATAGAAGACATGCAAACCAAGCAGACTGTCACAATTTCCCTCACTCCTCATCCCTTGCTGAGGGAGGAGCTGAACTATAAGCTTAGACCAAACAGCACACACGAAGAGCCACTGTATTTCTGGCTCATGATACCACCACCTGGAATCTTGCATGCAACAAGACTTGCCTGTGCCCTGCACACACTTCTCCTGGGACAGCAGGACTAGCAGAAAGCATCCTCCCACGTGTAGCAGCAGTGGTATTTAGTACTTACCAGACTTCGGCTTTTGTTTTGCAGGTGGTTTTTCATCGTCTGAGCCATCAGATGAGTCCTCACTGCTGGAACTTTCTTTGGCATGTTTGTTTTGCCCTGGACGTGCTTGAATAGCTGCAGGTTTTGGCAGAGGTGATTTCTTGGGAACAGCCTTATCACAAGAAGGAAAGAAATACACGTTTAAAAAAAGACGTTAGAGAAATCTTGTGGGGACAGCTGCATGTGGACGTTGTTTAACTCTACGCCTTACTTGGGAGCAAATTTTGAAGACAAAGGGATTAACAAAGATTCTCAAATGCAATTTTGAGGAAACGCATGAGCATCATGATCTTTCTAGCCACTATGCTGCTGTTTTCTGCTCCATGAATCCCTAATGAAGAACTCCTCTTACTAAGGGGCACAGAACTGACTGCAATGGTAGCAACTCCCACTTGATTAAACAACAACTATGATTATTTTTGTGTTGCAGAAAACATTTTTAGTGGAAAACTCTGTTCTAGATAGCTAAGCACGAAAGAATCATGCAAAAGTGAACATATAATGGAGACTACAATATGGTTATGACACAATCAGATGTCTTCCTGTAAAAGGAAGGAGCAGAGGAAGCGGTAAGGAGGTATTAGGGAAGACAGACAGGGCATGGAGAGGTGCTAGAACACATAATCCCACTGTACAAAGGAAAAGGAGGTGTAAGAGCCACAAATGCTGTGCTCAGCACCTGTGTAGTCTGTGCCTTTGTCTACATTTCACAGTCCCTACAAGAGAGAGATACACCCAGTCTTACTAAACTTCTACAGTGTTCATGAAGTTCTTCATTCTTCATGGTCTAATTTACCTTCTTCAGTGCCGCCTTTTCCTCATCAGAATCTTCACTACTGCTGCTACTGCTTGCTGCTTTTCCATTGGCGACCTTGGTAGCCACCTGGAGAGCTTTACTTCCTTTTGAGATAGGTAAAAAGGGACACTTGAAAACATGCTATGATAGATGAGGTGTAATTACATTCAGCATAAAGTAACATGAGAGAAAAGAACCACAGCAAGTTCACAGGGCAGATTAAGGCAGTACTGCAAAACTGTTCTTTTATCCTACTGCAAGCTTAGAGAAAAGTTTTCAGAAAACTGTCCCTTCTAGCTCATCAGAAGTTCCAGGACTAAAGGGTAAGAAACGACCTTCCCTGCTCTTTGAGGGAAAGACACTGGCAAAAGCACAAGTTAGTCAGTCAAGGTTGCTGACTACAGCTACTGATGCAAACAATGCAGCAGCTGGAATCAGATGTTTTGTTTGCAATTGGTTCTACACCTCTTCCATGTCAGCAGCAGACTGGAGTTCAAATGGCAGTGACAGATTTTCAGGCTGCTATGTTAATACATACGCCTTTGCCTGTAGGTACAGCCCCCAACACCTTTCCCCTGGCTTTTCTGGTTTTGCACTTTGACTTATGATACACAGTAAGAGGTACCCGATTTAGGTGTTGCTGGTTTTGGCGGCTGTTTCTTTGGTGCTGCTTCATCTGAGCTGCCTGAGTCAGAGCTGGAACTCTCTGCTTTCTTCTGAGGTTGGGTTTTGGTTCCAACTGTCTTCACCACAGGTTTTGTGCCTTTCTAAACAACAGGAGGGAAAACTGATTAGCCATGAAAAGAGAAAGAGGCTAGTAATTGGGACACATGCACAGAGAGTATTAGCAGCTGTCTCTCACAGCGGCTGCCATTTTGACTTGAAAACACTGCTCTGCCTAACGATTAGGGCCTGAAAATCCCTGGATAACAATCTTGCTCTGGGAAACCTCCCAGCACCCCATGGGAGACTTCCTTTCATAGAATCATTTTGGCTGGAAAAGACCTGTAAGATCATCAGGTCCAACCACTACCAAGCCCACCGCTAAAACATGTCCCTAAGCACCACATCTATATGTCTTTTGAACACCTTCAGGGATGGTGACTCTACCACCTCCCTAGGCAGCCTGTTCCACATTTTGAGGCTTTGCACCTCAGTCTCCAGTTCTGCCTCCTCAAAATGAGGCAGCTCTGGGACTGGCACTGTTCTCTTCCTTCTCCAGATCACACTAGTTTGAAGACTGAAAATACTGACTGGGCAACTGTAGTTCATCTCTTCTAGTGTACACTGACATAATTCTTCCTCCCCCGCCCTTCTCAAGATCATGACTGCAGCAAGAAAAAGGAAAGAGAAGATTCTCTTTTTATATATACATATATGTAGAAAAAGATGAAATTTATTTTAGCAATCGTAAATAAATTTTTCTCTGCAAAAAAAAAATTAAGCCCTGGCAGTCTTAGGATAAAAGGAAGGAGTAGACATGGATATGAAACAAAACAAAGTGGGTGCTGGACATGAAATTGATTTTTCACAAGGCCAGTCCAAATAGCACACCGTCCACTACAGAAGTGTCTTCTTACACTGCACCTGCAGCAGCCCAGGAAAAGTGAGCTAAATTTCAGAGAGAATTCTGCTGGTCAAATTTGCTATTATCCATCACTGCTAAACATGCATTAAAAAGGCTGGAAAGAAAAGCTGACCTTTGCTGGCTTCTTCTCCTCCTCCGAGTCTGAATCATCACTGGAGTCCTCACTGCTGCTCTCTGCCTTCTTGGCTGGAGGAACTGCTTTTGCCTTGGGCACAGCTGCTGCTTTAGCTGCAAATAAGAGGACAGCACACATTGATAAGTTAATTCAAAACTTTCATGTACCTATATCCTGCACCCGTGTGTATCAGGGCAAAAGGACAGACTAAGATTATTAAACCATGATTGAAGTTCACAAAGCTGACTTTGTTTCTTGAGCACGGTACAGCAAAAGACTCCAAAACAGGTAGGTGAGAGGATAAAACAAATTCTAGATTTTCTTTGTCGTGTACACATTTAAGCACAGACTTCTATCGCCAAAAAGGACACCCCACAAGGAAAGTGCCCCCCCAAACTGAGATAACATTAAGTGGGTCTGGACACCTTCCAGCTTACAAAAACCCGCTGAACAAGCGCAGATTTCCAAAGGGAACCACTGCAACGCTGTGTTAAGGTTCCAGACACTTTGCTTAATGCGTTTTAGCCAAATCTACTCCTTCCTGGTTACTGAATGCTTTTTAATAACATGGAGCCAAAGAAATCATTTTTCCTCAAATCATATTTGCAACTGTCCTTATCAAAGAAAAAACAGATCTAAGTTCAAATTGATGTTTAGGATAGCTCAAGTTGAAGACCACTTTTCTTTCTGTGTCTCTCCCTCTCCTTGTCTACTTCTTCCCTCCCACAAATCTCCTGCTGGATACACACAAATTTGCATACACCGTGATTAAGGCAAGGCGTAAGAACAATTCCAGATGAAAAGGGAAAATACAGCTCACCACATACCGAAGCACAGTGTAGGGATGTATTTTTTGATAGCACAGGACACAGCCTTGAGAGAAAGGAGGGTAGTAACCTCACATGAACAGCAGGTGAGCAAGGATGCTTGGCATTTCTCTGGAACTCCAGGATACCGTGTACAAATGCTCTGCATCAAACAGTGCCCACCAATACAGAGGAGCCTGACAAATCCTAGCCATGCAGGAGTTTTGTCAAATTATGCATATTTTAACAAATGTGAAAGCACTTATAAAACCTTAATCAGTTTTCCTACAATAGCAAGATAAGAAAAAACACCCTTTAAAGCTCTCAGTGAAATTAAGAGTCCCCAGAAAACAGAGAGAAAAAAAAAAAATCATGAAGCAGCTGCCTCCAACATAGAGAGTACTTGCTCAATCTACATGCATTCCAATTTCACTCAAGATTTAAATCAACACCTAATCTGAATGTGCAGCAGGAATAACCCTGCCTAGATAGCCTACCAGTGTTTGGAATGCAGAATCTCAATATAGGCAAGGTAACGAAGGTGCTACTTCAACAGTACCTTCAAGACTCAATCCAGACCAATGCCTTCACCAATCTCAGCCAAGAGAGACAAACCGAATGGCTAAAGTCTCTAGTGGACACAAACCCTATTGTGCTTAAGTTATAACTGAGATCACCCTCAGCTAGGATGAACCTACCTTACAGACCACGGGCAGAAGACCTGCCAGAAACAAGATCAGTCAATACAAGCCCAGTCCTTGATAGCTGCTGAAGGACCTCAAACGAGCCACTACAGCTGAGCTCTATATCCGGGGTCAAACACGACCCTGGCCTGCCCTAGGGCCGCGCACAAACCCCACCTGGTTTCTTGGCGGGGGGCGTCTCATCCTCCTCGCTGGAGCTGTCATCGCTGCTGGAGGACGGCTTCCTCTTCGCCTGCGGGCCGTTGGGAACGAGCTTTCTCTTCTTGGCCGCTGGAGACCTACAAGGAGAAAGGCTGAGCTGGGGGCTACGAGGCGAGAGCCGGCCGGCGGCTGGTGCCGCGGGGAGCCCGGCA